AAGGTCCAGGTGGACGTTCTATTCAATTTTTAAGGTCCAGGTGGACGTTCTATTCAATTTTTAAGGTCCAGGTGGACGTTCTATTCAATTTTTAAGGTCCAGGTGGACGTTCTATTCAATTTTTAAGGTCCAGGTGGACGTTTTATTCCATTTATTAAGTCCTGGTGGGCGTTCTATTCCATTTTTACACCTTATAGGTCTTTCACACTCCTTGGAAGAATGAATGCTCTTGCTAATTAATCCAGAATCTTGAACCCAACACTCGGAAACCTCCTTGTGTGACAATAAACACCACACCCATTAAAGCAAATGGAATCCAACCCAGAGGTAGTTGTAGTGTCTAGGTAATAGCCTGAATTATATAACGTATATATATAGCAACAGTACACATTAAAGAATCATAATGCCATCTTAAACACTTCCGGAGTTTTGTTATAATTGTTTTCCACTTCCATGACAGAGCTCCAACAACTTGAGAACTAATATTAAACTATCCCGTGTTACCAATCCAAGTACAATATCTTCTCCTTTGGTCAGTCCGTTTCCATCTAAACAAGAGTGTTCTAAACATTCCAAGGGAGAGACTCCAATTTGTAAGTTCTAAACTGAGCAATAATGACACTTAAAAACACAATGACTGCATTTATTTCTTATTATGTTATCTCAAATAGAATACTGAAAACCGATCTTCTCATCCAAGCAAGACAGTTACAGATAATACTCTTAAGAATCTTGAAATACAAAATACATACACCTTCTGCCACATTGGAATAGCTGAAGACACCAACTAGTCTATGAGACAGAGGGATTGTCGGTATCATTTGGGTGGGCAAAATCTACCATACGTTTTGTGAAAGACCCGAGTTTATACTTGAAAACATCTAGTGGACATGTCAACTACGTATTAGCTTATTTTGTTGAAAATGCGTTGCCATAGCAAACAGTCGCTGCATTTCAAAAATGTGACAAAATACAATGAAATATCTCGGGTACTATGAAAGATACATACACAAACATGTGTGTGTGTGTGTGTGTAAATTGATGGGTCCGAATGACTATGTGTTTGCGTGATTAAAGAGTGAATTATAAGTTTTGGTGCCTGTTTAAAGTATTAATAATTTTTTTTTAATAGGCCTACAGTAATGCCGTCAGGATCAGAGCTTTCTGCAAAGCAGCCACGGCTGGAACAAATGACATTCGTGACATGTCTAACACGTAGAGTCGATACTTCAATCACGGAGCTGACTAAACCAAGAGACATGGATTCATGGACCAAATTTTTGAAATCTGCTGAAATACAAAAACAAAAATGTGCAGCTATAATACAGTATATATGGTGTAATGATACACCAGATGTATCACTTCGACTGCAGAAAAATATCCACGCACAATAAAATGTTTCAACAACTTGAACGTATAGAAACAGGGCCTTTTCGCCATCGAGAATATTCCTTTGAGAGGCAGCAACCAATAAGAGAAGCAGCCAAAAGCTCATCCTCCACGGCTTATGAAGGAAGATGTATTTTTTGTGAAATATAAAATTGACCAACTATGACCTACTATATACATCTTACATCCAGTTGTCACATTCTTTTGCTTTTTCAAAGTTTTTTTAATAGGATATACACGACACCCTAACATCATCAACGGTTCAAAGACTAGTTTAGCCCTTTGGTTAAGTCTCTCTCTCTCTCTCTCTCTCTCTCTCTCTCTCTCTCTCTCTCTCTCTATATATATATATATATATATATATATATAGA